TAAACTTCCCAGTCGCCTTCCTTCCACGACTGAGCACAAAAGCATTTGTCGAAGGGGCTACTTGTTAGGCATCTGGTTCCTGACACTGTACATTGAAGCACTTTTTAAACTTCCCAGTCGCCTTCATTCCACGGCTGAGCACAATAGCAGCTGTCGAAGGGGCTACTTGTTAGGCATCTGGTTCCTGACACTGTACATTGAAGCACTTTTTAAACTTCCCGGTCGCCTTCCTTCCATGGCTGAGCACAATAGCAGCTGTCGAAGGGGCTACTTGTTAGGCATCTGGTTTCTGACACTGTACATTGAAGCACTTTTTAAACTTCCCAGTCGCCTTCCTTCCTCGGCTGAGCACAATAGCAGCTGTCGAAGGGGCTACTTGTTAGGCATCTGTTTCCTGACACTGTACATTGAAGCACTTTTTAAACTTCCCAGTCGCCTTCCTTCCACGGCTGAGCACAATAGCAGCTGTCGAAGGGGCTACTTGTTAGGCATCTGGTTCCTGACACTGTACATTGAAGCACTTTTTAAACTTCCCAGTCGCCTTCCTTCCACGACTGAGCACAATAGCAGCTGTCGAAGGGGCTACTTGTTAGGCATCTGGTTCCTGACACTGTACATTGAAGCACTTTTTAAACTTCCCAGTCGCCTTCCTTCCACGACTGAGCACAATAGCAGCTGTCGAAGGGGCTACATGTTAGGCATCTGGTTCCTGACACTACATTGAACCACTTTTTAAACTTCCCAGTCGCCTTCCTTCCACGGCTGAGCACAATAGCAGCTGTCGAAGGGGCTACTTGTTAGGCATCTGGTTCCTGACACTGTACATTGAAGCACTTTTTAAACTTCCCAGTCGCCTTCCTTCCACGACTGAGCACAATAGCAGCTGTCGAAGGGGCTACTTGTTAGGCATCAACCGTATTATATTTCCTGGTTTGGACAAGAATTGCACGACCACAACATCCTTCCTGAAGACTCTGACAGGATGTCGTTAGTTTCTCGCTTGGACTATGGCCAAACTGACTGTGTAACTTCTTTATGACATCTGGGTCTGTCAATTTTCTTCCTAACAAAAAAGAATCAATTACCTCGCCAGGAAGCAGAGATACTACGTTAGTATGGCCTGTTGTGGTCTCCTTCAAAGGCATTGCTGTCATGCTCTGATCCAGAGGAAAGTTGTTTTTCACACATTAAGCTTGAACTTAGCGGCTTTCATAGATTTTAGGCTTAAGAGCATAACGGGCTTCAGTAGTAAAAAAAAATTGCACTAAGAAAAAAAGACATTTTCAAGTTTTTTCTTGAAGTTATTTTCAAGTTTTTCTTTCAATTTTGGTTTTGTTTTATTGAACATGTGTTGGAGGAATATTCTGTTCTGTATGCAATTAAAGCAATCGGCCATCATTGTTGTTAATTAGGCGCTCAATCTTTTTCTTCGATCATTAATGTAAAAGTTGAAGAATTTAGATTTTGTTGATGAGAGGAAGAATTAAGCGAGCCAAAAACATTTTACTCAATTCCGAACTCAATTCATTCCGGTTGAGTAGATAGAATGCAGGTGAGTATGTGGATGCAGGCAGATCTCAGTAGAGAACCAGTGAAACTGTTCAAAGACTGTTATTGTATCTCCTGATATGGTATTTCCTGATAGCAGGCTACATAGGGAGGTAACAACTAGTGAACAGCAGACAAAAACATTATATTTAATGGCGTTTTCCTTTTGTGTACACTACATCGTTTTGTGTGGCCAAAGACTATTTCCAGTATCACAATAGGTCATCGCTATTTAACAATAAGTAGCTCTCAAAGCTAACAGCAAGAAAGCCCGAACAGTGTTGTTGAATGAAAAAATAGCGAAACAATCTGGTCCACATATCATATCAGAAGTTGAACATGCGAGAGCGACTGTATGGATGAACAGCTGAGACAATAGGCACAAATAGCACACAATTCTACTCGTCTCACAGTGTAGTCAATTTGGACAAGGAAACTTGTGCGTTTTCACTACCAGCACCTTGTTGCCCATCCATAATCCATACAGATGGTTCACTACAGAGTGAGCTACAATCAGACAAAAAAAAGCAATCATATCAACAGGTTTTCAACCACAAAAGAGTTATTAAATTTTAGAACTGCACTTTCATCATGAAAAGGCGCTTTCATCATGAAAAGGTTAGCAAAAAACAATTATCCCGCCCTGGCCACATTCCAATCTGAAAATCAGTCCCAGTCAATCAAATTAGCTGCTTTAAAATTTCTTCATGCTTGCAACTTTTCCTGCGTGTCACCAAAGTTTGAGCTAGTGCTTGTCTCTAATCATAAATAACATCAAACAATGATATTTTTTTGAGCTAGTAGGTGCAATAAAATTGGCTCAAGTGCAAGTTCCAGTATTGCCATTTCAACAAGGATTGCGGTTGCTGTGCAAGTAGCACAGAATATTCCGATCATAGTCGTAAATAAAACAAAAAGTTTCTTCAGGTTTTTTTTTCAATTAGGTAACGAAAGCCCTAATTTAAGGCAAATTCGACAGTCATAGTAAAATAAGAAAATCTGGCTAAGCTTTGTGTCAAAAAGTGACTAGAAAAAAAACGAAATGTTGTGCTAAAACAAAAAAAATCAGTTGAAATTTTTTTCTGATCCAAAAACGGCGCAAGAAACTTCAAAAACTACTTAAAAAAACAAATTGTTATGGCTTATTTTTCAAAAATAAAACCTGTTTGTTTGGTTTACTTGCTCAAAATTAGACTTAAACTCAAAAATAAATTTCAACCCGGATTTTTTTGGACACTGGGACAACCTTTTGAAAATTTTTCTGTCTTTTGAATCAGAACTGAAAAGGCTTTAATATGATAAATCACTTCACCCGCACGATGGTTATTTCTGGTAAATGCTAAGGTGGACAAAAAGAAAAAGCCTGCTCGCTTACCTTATTTGCTTGAAATAAGGCCAAAAATCACAAAATAACTGGTTTTTCTCGACACAGAGCAATTTTTTCGAATCTGTTGTTCGAATCAAGACTGAAAGCGTCTTAATATGGCGTATGACTCGAGCTATTACGATAATTATTTGTGGTACTTAATTAAGCATAAAAAAAAACAGCAGCCAAGCGGAGCATCGCATCACTTACGATGCAACAAAGCGTAGCATTGCAGGCTAGTGAATAGAATAGAGAATGGAAATAACCAAGCTTGAAAAAATGTTTAAAAAAACTGATTTTTTTTTTAAAGAAAAGATGAAAAGTTCAATTTCAGGAAAAGAGTCGAGAAACAACTACCAACATCAAATTAGCTTTTTGTTTTTATCGAGCAGCTCTTAGCCGATCAGTGTGTGCGTAGAAGCACCTTGATTCGAAAAAAAATGTCAAACGAAATGGTTATCAAAAAACTTTAAGGCGATTAAGTTTTACTAACTTTCAAACCACAACCCAAGTGAATTATTTGGCATGAAAGGGCATTAGGAAGGACATTCAAGTGCATTAAAGTGAAGGTCATTAAAGTACCATTATGCCAGAAAAGAGAAATTGAAGTACAGTCTTTTCACGAAAAATAAAACTAATTTTTTATACATTTTTGTGAAATTGGCTTAGTTTCATTGATCGTAAAAGATTCATGAGTTTAACAAAAGCTTCGTATCTTTTTTCGGAAATTAAAAAGGTGAAGCTTAAAGCGGCTGTTTGATGTTATCTCTTATTGTCATTTTTGGTAGAAGTTAGAGCTAATCAAGTAATGGAAGTGCAGTCTTCATCAAGCATCCTGAAATATCTTTTCAGTTGCTAAAAACGATCCTTGTTTCGCTTGCGAGAGAAAGTGGCTTGTAATTGGGTACTATATTTTTTCCGATAACTTAATTTTTCTTACAAATCAGTGAGAAATTGAACTTGCTTCATTTTTGAACCTTAATAACTTCCAGTATCGTTCCCACTTTGTCTGGAGAAGACAAATTTGTCCTTGCCTCCTAACGTGGTTTTCGAGTCCCGGTCGGCTCGTTTTTTTTTCAGTATGTATGAAATGGAAAAAAAACTTTCGGTAAAAATTGAATGGCCTGATTATAGTTTTTTGTCTAGACAATGCCATAAATCTGCTGCGTTATGTTTATTCAAACTTAAGTATTTTTTTCTCTATTTTTTCTCAGATTTATATAGTTTTCTTTTTCTTTGAAGATCTAAATTTTCGCATTGAATTTGATAAAACGGGCAGTGCTCTGTAACCCAATTGGGTTCGTTAACTGTCCCCTCACTGTTTCTGGTGCTTCATGTTTAAATTATCGTTATATGCATATTTACCATTAACAATGAGAAATGAATTCTTTCTTTTTTCTCTTTCGTTTGTTAAGTTAGATTATTTGCCAAATCACGTTTTTTTCTTGTGTTGTGTTGATTTACTCTTGTTATTGGAAATTTTCTAACCCTGACTTAGTATATAGCTTCCACTTGTATTTTTTAGGCTTGAAGGTTTTATTTGGCCTAATCAGTTTCAGTTTATGTGTTATTGCCCTAATCAACTTATTTTGTGTCGTTGAAGGGAAACATTGATGAATATTTGGAAAACTAATAATTCAGGTCGGCTGTGGTGTAAAAGTTGAAACTTAATCGCTCAAATTTCAAATTTTTTTATTACAAAATTTTCATATGGTTATTTTTTTTATTTTAGGCTCTATGGGCGTCTACCCACGTGTTTTTGGTTAAGTGGATACTTGGTAAATACTGAAAGCTTACTTATTGCTGTTGGTTGTTGCTCGACTGTTTTTCTTAAATTAAATTTTTCGCATTTTACTTTAATTTCAATATTTTACTTTCAATTTTTTTGTCTATGTCTTCGGTTTGGTTGGTTAATTCCGTCTACTTCTCTAGCCGCTAGCTGTCAATATCCTCTCCGTGTCTTTGTAAATACTATGACAAGTCCCGAGGGAAATGAAGTAGAAGTTATCAAAATGATTGCTAAAATTGAATGAATAAAAGATTAATTTTGAGAAAGTGGCAACTGTTTTCACGGTTCACTATTTAGATGTGGTGTACGGTCAGAGGAGTAGCACGCGGGATGTGCAGCAAGTAGTGGACCCTATCGTGGAGGCAGTACTGAAGGGCTTCCATGGAACTGTGTTCGCCTATGGCCAAACTGGCTCTGGCAAAACGCACACGATGAGTGGCACTGCACAGGAGCCAGGGATCATTCCGCTCTCAGTGAAGAAAATCTTCGAAACTATCGCTCAGGTAGGCGACTGACAAGTCATTCCTAGTATCACTGAAAGATTTTTTCCATTGTTTTTTTTTTAAAACATCGCAGAATTCTAAAAGTGATGTTATCTTAGCCACTTAGAGACAGGCATCTACTTCCTAATTCTTCTACTTCTGCTCAAAATTTAAGATTGGAACACTCTGCAACTCAGTAGTTTTTTTCTAAATGTCGAATATCTAGATTTGTGAATAAACAGATAAAAAGACAACTTTATCTCTGTTATACAGGAGCAAAGTGACCGCGCTTATCTTCTCCGAGTTTCCTACTTCGAGATATATCTTGAGAGAATCACCGATCTGCTGGCGGAAAGATCACCTGACCGAAATAATCAGAACAGGTTCTTGGAGGTGAAGGAAGACCAAAACAGGGAGCCTTATGTGTGTGGTGAGTTGTCAGACCTTGGAGGCTTGTTTGCGTTGAGTTTGTTGACACTTACTCACACATACAGGTGGGACAGTTCCATCACTTATGTGCTCTCTCTCTCATCTCCATTGTTGCGCCATAATGATGCATTGCATTGCATTCCCTATTCCCTTTTGCTTTCTATTTTGAGAAGAACACTTTGTCTATGGCTATTATTTTCGTGGCTATCCCATTTGGTATGAGATTAAAATGATGTTTTGCATGCACTCTGTCACAGCTAAGTGAACTTTTTCGAGAAACGTGAACATTTGCAGATATGAATATTGTCTCAATGCGAAAATGTTTGTGAAATTTTTGGTGCCCCATTTTAGAGAAGGGGTGCTCTTACTAACAGACTGGTATCGGTGTTCTTTCGAGTAGATGGCATAAGTTCCTATATTTGTAAATGAGCCTTATGAGTGGTTTCCGGTCAATAAGACGACAGCTGTTAAGATGAAAAACCGCTTTTGGTGGGACTTTAAGACGACGATACACGCAATTTTCTACATTGCATTTGTGAGAAGTTTGAAGCGCTGAAATTGGAACTGCTCGTTGTACATCGTGTTGGTTAGGATGTGGCCTGTCGTCTCATGTACCGAGTAGCGTGATGATGATTACAGGATGATACTGGTATCCTGTTTATACTAGTGGAGTTCAATTGTGAATGTGATAGTGTTCGTTTAGTTTGCTACTCACTGACTGAGTGAGTGAGTGAGTGAGTGAGTAAGTGTTTCAGGACTGAATGAGTCGGTGGTTGCGTGTGAGGAGGACGTGTTTGAGCACTTGAGAGTGGGGCAGCTGGCGAGGAAGACGGGCGCCACTGCTGTGAACGAGAAGAGCAGCAGATCCCACTCCGTCTTCAGAATCACCATCGAGAGCAAGGACTCCGAGGACACCCTAACCATGGGACACCTGGTCAGTTCCCTCCTCCTCAGTGTGCAGTTGTTAAAAAAACAACAACCAATAAACAAACGTCCAAACAGGCAGACCTATTTTAGTTCCAATAAATTGCCAATGATAGCTTCAAAGAGTGAAAGCAGTAATTATAAAGTTCACAACTTGCGCCCGTAGTTTTCAAATTTAGGACCCAAGAGAAATAAACTGCGTTTGGATCAAAGGTAAACTTTGAGCTGTGGTAGATTCAAGCTCCCGGATGGATAAATGTAGAGAAAGAAATAGAAGATGAAAGGACATCGTTTCATTTTATCAATTCACTAATTGCATCGGATACTTGGTCGGAGACAAAGCTGTAAACGCAATGTTTAAGCAATTGTTATACAGAGCTGATTTAACTTAATCGGACAAAACGAGCATAATTTGAAATCTCAAAGGCTTTTTTCTCAAATTGGCTTTAGAGTAGACACAAAGTGAAGAGAACAAAAGTTGCGTAGAATTTCACCAGAATTCGTATGGTTCAATTTTATATCCGAAACTCTTAACCAAAATTTTACCCCGAAAATGGATCATTTTGTTTTTAATTAAACGAGAATTGTGCTGAAACTACATTGTTAACTGATGAGAAAATTATATCAAAAGAAGCATCGTACGCAGCCCAACAAATTTTATGAAGGGTTAAATCTCCAAAAAAAAAATTGCGCCAATTATTTAAAAGTTGTGAAATTCTAAGCAATTTTTGTTCTCTTCACTTTTTGTCTAATCTTGACCCAATTTGAGAAAAACGCGTTTGAAGTTTCATTTTTTTTTCGTTCTGTCCGGATAATTTAAATCAGCAGTGTATAGCTTTTAACAATTTTATCGGACGTCCTAAATGTCTGAACTAATTTTGACCTTGATACTGTGAAATAGAGTTCAAGGTAGAACCGATTTACGAAACTTCATTTGAACTATCAAAAGCTCTTAACTTCAGAATACTTTTCATTCAGCAGCTATCTGACATGAATTCTTTCAATAGAAAAGAACACCTAAAACGCCAACAAAAAGACAAGCGCGAAACTTCAAAAAACTATCTTTAAAAAGTTTCAGCTTTAGGTCAGAGTTATTTCTAAAATTTAATATGTTGTCCGATAAATTTGTTAAAAGCTATAGAGGACAATGGTTAACAAAATTCGTCAGTGACATTTTATAGTTTACGTCAAATTATTGGCAAATCGGTGACCTTGAACAATTGAATCGGTCAAAAACTAGGAATTTAGGCTAATTGATTTTTCGGAAACCGTTTTTACGAGTGAAAATTAGTAATAAGATGAAATTCGATGCTTTCTTTCCAAAGCTTGGGTTTTTCAATTTTGCTTCAAACAGTTTTTGCTATAAATGAAATTTGTTCTGTTGTTTGCAAATTTTCGAACTCTAACTTTTCCCTCTTTTTGACAAAAAGTTTTGAAGACTAGAACATTAGCTGGGACTTGTTTGCTGAGCCAACGTTTTTGATCAGGCGTATAAAAGACTTTCCTAGACGGACCATAAACCTAATTTGCAAATAATGTTACTCATTGTTTGATGGCAACTTTGCATTTTATATCTGGATAACATTCGCTCCATAGCATTATATTTTTGCATCTGGTTAATTAGTTGCTGTTTTTTTTTGTTTGATAAAAACTAGATAATATGATATTGTTTGATTAAATTTTTGGTTTTTCGTAAAAAATTGAATGTTTCTCGAAAACTGCTATTGGTACTAATGGAGAGCTCGCCTACTTACCTGTGTGCCTGGATTTTCCGCTAGTCTCTTTTTTTTTAATCGGACGTTCTGCTGCCCTCGAAAACTTCAGTGGGAGTGAGTTTTTGACCCATTTTTTGGATTGGCCTCTTTTTCTTGAAACCTACCCTGCCAAATCTGAGGTTAAGGGTTCAATCAAAAGAACAGATTGCGACTATTTGCCGCACAAATGGTGTCGGCTTAATGTTTGATGAAAAATTTATCGCCTTAAAAATGTACAGTTTTTGAAGTTTTGCTCGTGTTTTGGAAATTTTTTCAATCTTCTCGAAACTTACATTGGCAACCTCTTACACCCTTTTTTGTACAGTTGTTTTTTCCATCAGTTGCCGCTTGGTCATGATTATCAATGGTTGGTTAGGCTTTTTTCGAAACTTACATTGGCAACCTCTTACACTCTTTTTTGTACAGTTGTTTTTTCCATCAGTTGCCGCTTGGTCATGATTATCAATGGTTGGTTAGGCTTTTTCAATCTTCTCGAAACTTACATTGGCAACCTCTTACACCCTTTTTTGTACAGTTGTTTTTTCCATCAGTTGCCGCTTGGTCATGATTATCAATGGTTGGTTAGGCTTTTTCAATCTTCTCGAAACTTACATTGGCAACCTCTTACACCCTTTTTTGTACAGTTGTTTTTTCCATCAGTTGCCGCTTGGTCATGATTATCAATGGTTGGTTAGGCTTTTTCAATCTTCTCGAAACTTACATTGGCAACCTCTTACACTCTTTTTTGTACAGTTGTTTTTTCCATCAGTTGCCGCTTGGTCATGATTATCAATGGTTGGTTAGGCTTTTTCAATCTTCTCGAAACTTACATTGGCAACCTCTTACACCCTTTTTTGTACAGTTGTTTTTTCCATCAGTTGCCGCTTGGTCATGATTATCAATGGTTGGTTAGGCTTTTTCAATCTTCTCGAAACTTACATTGGCAACCTCTTACACCCTTTTTTGTATAGTTGTTTTTTCCATCAGTTGCCGCTTGGTCATGATTATCAATGGTTGGTTAGGCTTTTTCAATCTTCTCGAAACTTACATTGGCAACCTCTTACACCCTTTTTTGTACAGTTGTTTTTTCCATCAGTTGCCGCTTGGTCATGATTATCAATGGTTGGTTAGGCTTTTTCAATCTTCTCGAAACTTACATTGGCAACCTCTTACACCCTTTTTTGTACAGTTGTTTTTTCCATCAGTTGCCGCTTGGTCATGATTATCAATGGTTGGTTAGGCTGTTTATCAACATCCGAGACAAAACCTATTTTTTCATGTGAAATTTGAACTGTTCATGTTTCTATGATTTTGCGCTGTGTTTTGTATTGCTTGCTATGAGATTGAAAGAATGTTGTGTGTGTGTGTGTGTAGAGTCTGGTGGATCTGGCGGGCAGTGAGAAGTTGGCCCAGACGAAGGCGGAGGGGGAGAGACTGAAGGAGGGCATCAACATCAACCAGAGTCTCATGCAGCTCAACATGGTATGCTATGCTATGCTATGCTATTCCACCAACCACACCACACCACACAACTAGAAGAGCACTCTAACAACTACTATTCAAGTTCAGCTCAAATTATGAGCACTAGTCTGAGTGGCAACTATCAACTCAACAAAGTGTTATATTCACAAATATTTTTTCCATCAGCTTTTCTAGCTCAACGCTAGACTCTAACATCATTTTTTTTTACATGAGATTGTTTGTTGATTGAACTGATTCACAATGGTAATTATGGATGGAAGAAGGCAGTGGCCTTGTGTGTCATGTCACCTGACTGGTTACTTTTGATGGTGATGTCTGTGTGCAGGTGATCAACCAAGTGACCTCTGGAAACCAGCACGTCAGCTACAGGAACTCCAAACTCACCCGCATTCTGCAGAACTCGATCGGGGGATCTGCGAAGACATGCATCCTCTGCACAGTGTCCCCCTGGGACTATGAAGAGACTCTTTCTACTCTGAGGGTTAGTGACAGGGAGAAGGGAACAACCAATTCTCATTGCTCGCATCCATTGTGGGAAATAGAACAGATTAGCTCAATTAGTCAAATGAACTTACGAATGCTTTTATTTCAATGGGGGGGGGGGGAGGGGTTGGACCTCAAAATGCACTCATAGCGATTGTTGGGAGCAAGAGATGACGTGCAGTGGAAGGAAGAGTGTTAAAATAGTGTTTGGTTACAAAGTAATGTGTGACTATGATGTTGTATGTGATGTGGTGGGATGAGGATGTTTGTAATAGTTTGCGAATACGGCCAAGAGGATCAGGAACAAGGAGAAGAAGAACGAGATAGTGGCTGACACGGCCATGATCAGACGGCTGGAGAGTGAGATGAGGCGCAAGGAGCAGTTGATCGCCACTCTCCTCAAAAAGGTCCACCAGCTGCAGGGCAACCAGCAGGGGACAGGCAACCCAAACAGGCATCCACTCTCTCTCTCTCTCTCTCTCTCTCTCTCTCTCCCACACACACACTCATGCATTCCATCTGTTCAATAACACCAATGAAATCATAGTGCATTGTGAAGTATTCATTAGTTGAGGAAGGACAGCAGCACACACACTCATGCATTCCATCTGTTCAATAACACCAATGAAATCATAGTGCATTGTGAAGTATTCATTAGTTAACGAAGGACAGCAGCACACACACTCTTGCATTCCATCTGTTCAATAACACCAATGAAATCATAGTGCATTGTGAAGTATTCATTAGTTAAGGAAGGACAGCAGCACACACACTCTTGCATTCCATCTGTTCAATAACACCAATGAAATCATAGTGCATTGTGAAGTATTCATTAGTTAAGGAAGGACAGCAGCACACACACTCTTGCATTCCATCTGTTCAATAACACCTATGAAATCATAGTGAATTGTGAAGTATTCATTAGTTAACGAAGGACAGCAGCACACACACTCATGCATTCCATCTGTTCAATAACACCTATGAAATCATAGTGCATTGTGAAGTATTCATTAGTTGAGGAAGGACAGCAGCACACACACTCTTGCATTCCATCTGTTCAATAACACCAATGAAATCATAGTGCATTGTGAAGTATTCATTAGTTAAGGAAGGACAGCAGCACACACACTCTTGCATTCCATCTGTTCAATAACACCAATGAAATCATAGTGCATTGTGAAGTATTCATTAGTTAACGAAGGACAGCAGCACACACACTCATGCATTCCATCTGTTCAATAACACCAATAAAATCATAGTGCATTGTGAAGTATTCATTAGTTAACGAAGGACAGCAGCACACACACTCATGCATTCTATCTGTTCAATAACACCAATGAAATCATAGTGCATTGTGAAGTATTCATTAGTTGAGGAAGGACAGCAGCACACACACTCATGCATTCCATCTGTTCAATAACACCAATAAAATCATAGTGCATTGTGAAGTATTCATTAGTTAACGAAGGACAGCAGCACACACACTCATGCATTCCATCTGTTCAATAACACCTATGAAATCATAGTGCATTGTGAAGTATTCATTAGTTAACGAAGGACAGCAGCACACACACTCATGCATTCTATCTGTTCAATAACACCAATGAAATCATAGTGCATTGTGAAGTATTCATTAGTTAACGAAGGACAGCAGCACACACACTCATGCATTCCATCTGTTCAATAACACCTATGAAATCATAGTGCATTGTGAAGTATTCATTAGTTGAGGAAGGACAGCAGCACACACACTCATGCATTCCATCTGTTCAATAACACCAATGAAATCATAGTGCATTGTGAAGTATTCATTAGTTAACGAAGGACAGCAGCACACACACTCATGCATTCCATCTGTTCAATAACACCTATGAAATCATAGTGCATTGTGAAGTATTCATTAGTTGAGGAAGGACAGCAGCACACACACTCTTGCATTCCATCTGTTCAATAACACCAATGAAATCATAGTGCATTGTGAATTATTCATTAGTTAAGGAAGGACATCAGCACACACACTCTTGCATTCCATCTGTTCAATAACACCAATGAAATCATAGTGCATTGTGAAGTATTCATTAGTTAAGGAAGGACAGCAGCACACAACACATACTCATGCATTCCATCTGTTCAATAACACCAATAAAATCATAGTGCATTGTGAAGTATTCATTAGTTAAGGAAGGACAGCAGCACACACACTCTTGCATTCCATCTGTTCAATAACACCTATGAAATCATAGTGCATTGTGAAGTATTCATTAGTTGAGGAAGGACAGCAGCACACACACTCGTGCATTCCATCTGTTCAATAACACCAATGAAATCATAGTGCATTGTGAAGTATTCATTAGTTAACGAAGGACAGCAGCACACACACTCATGCATTCCATCTGTTCAATAACACCTATGAAATCATAGTGCATTGTGAAGTATTCATTAGTTGAGGAAGGACAGCAGCACACACACTCTTGCATTCCATCTGTTCAATAACACCAATAAAATCATAGTGCATTGTGAAGTATTCATTAGTTAACGAAGGACAGCAGCACACACACTCATGCATTCCATCCGTTCAATAACACCTATGAAATCATAGTGCATTGTGAAGTATTCATTAGTTGAGGAAGGACAGCAGCACACACACTCTTGCATTCCATCTGTTCAATAACACCTATGAAATCATAGTGCATTGTGAAGTATTCATTAGTTAACGAAGGACAGCAGCACACACACTCATGCATTCCATCCGTTCAATAACACCTATGAAATCATAGTGCATTGTGAACTATTCATTAGTTGAGGAAGGACAGCAGCACACACACTCTTGCATTCCATCTGTTCAATAACACCAATGAAATCATAGTGCATTGTGAAGTTTTCATTAATTAAGGAAGGACAGCAGCACACACACTCATGCATTCCATCTGTTGAATAACACCTATGAAATCATAGTGCATTGTGAAGTATTCATTAGTTAACGAAGGTCAGCAGCACACACACTCATGCATTCTATCTGTTCAATAACACCAATGAAATCATAGTGCATTGTGAAGTATTCATTAGTTAACGAAGGACAGCAGCACACACACTCATGCATTCCATCTGTTCAATAACACCTATGAAATCATAGTGCATTGTGAAGTATTCATTAGTTGAGGAAGGACAGCAGCACACACACTCATGCATTCCATCTGTTCAATAACACCAATGAAATCATAGTGCATTGTGAAGTATTCATTAGTTAACGAAGGACAGCAGCACACACACTCATGCATTCCATCTGTTCAATAACACCTATGAAATCATAGTGCATTGTGAAGTATTCATTAGTTGAGGAAGGACAGCAGCACACACACTCTTGCATTCCATCTGTTCAATAACACCAATGAAATTATAGTGCATTGTGAAGTATTCATTAGTTAAGGAAGGACAGCAGCACACACACTCTTGCATTCCATCTGTTCAATAACACCAATGAAATCATAGTGCATTGTGAAGTATTCATTAGTTAAGGAAGGACAGCAGCACACACACTCATGCATTCCATCTGTTCAATAACACCAATAAAATCATAGTGCATTGTGAATTATTCATTAGTTAACGAAGGACAGCAGCACACACACTCATGCATTCTATCTGTTCAATAACACCAATGAAATCATAGTGCATTGTGAAGTATTCATTAGTTAACGAAGGACAGCAGCACACGCACTCATGCATTCCATCTGTTCAATAACACCTATGAAATCATAGTGCATTGTGAAGTATTCATTAGTTGAGGAAGGACAGCAGCACACACACTCTTGCATTCCATCTGTTCAATAACACCAATGAAATCATTGTGCATTGTGAAATTTTCATTAGTTGAGGAAGGACAGCAGCACACACTCTTGCATTCCATCTGTTCAATAACACCAATGAAATCATAGTGCATTGTGAAGTATTCATTAGTTGAGGAAGGACAGCAGCACACACACTCTTGCATTCCATCTGTTCAATAACACCAATGAAATCATAGTGCATTGTGAAGTATTCGTTTTTTAACGAAGGACTGCAGCACACACACTCATGCATTCCATCTGTTCAATAACACCAATGAAATCATAGTGCATTGTGAAGTATTCGTTTTTTAACGAAGGACTGCAGCACACACACTCATGCATTCCATCTGTTCAATAACACCAATGAAATCATAGTGCATTGTGAAGTATTCATTAGTTGAGGAAGGACAGCAGCACACACACTCTTGCATTCCATCTGTTCAATAACACCAATGAAATCATAGTGCATTGTGAAGTATTCATTAGTTAAGGAAGGACAGCAGCACACACACTCTTGCATTCCATCTGTTCAATAACACCAATGAAATCATAGTGCATTGTGAAGTATTCATTAGTTAAGGAAGGACAGCAGCACACACACTCATGCATTCCATCTGTTCAATAACACCAATGAAATCATAGTGCATTGTGAAGTATTCGTTTTTTAACGAAGGACTGCAGCACACACACTCATGCATTCCATCTGTTCAATAACACCAATGAAATCATAGTGCATTGTGAAGTATTCATTAGTTGAGGAAGGACAGCAGCACACACACTCTTGCATTCCATCTGTTCAATAACACCAATGAAATCATAGTGCATTGTGAAGTTTTCATTAGTTAAGGAAGGACAGCAGCACACACACTCTTGCATTCCATCTGTTCAATAACACCAATGAAATCATAGTGCATTCTGAAGTATTCATTAGTTGAGGAAGGACAGCAGCACACACACCCTTGCATTCCATCTGTTCAATAACACCAATGAAATCATAGTGCATTGTGAAGTATTCATTAGTTAAGGAAAGACAGCAGCACACACACTCTTGCGTTCCATCTGTTCAATAACACCAATGAAATCTTAGTGCATTGTGAAGTATTCATTTGTTGAGGAAGGACAGCAGCACCCACACTCTTGCATTCCATCTGTTCAATAACACCTATAAAATCATAGTGCATTGTGAAGTATTCATTAGTTGAGGAAGGAAAGCAGCACACACACTCTTGCATTCCATCTGTTCAATAACACCAATGAAATCATAGTGCATTGTGAAGTATTCATTAGTTAAGGAAGGACAGCAGCACACACACTCTTGCATTCCATCTGTTCAATAACACCAATGAAATCATAGTGCATTGTGAAGTATTCATTAGTTAAGGAAGGACAGCAGCACACACGCTCTTGCATTCCATCTGTTCAATAACACCAATGAAATCATAGTGCATTCTGAAGTATTCATTAGTTGAGGAAGGACAGCAGCACACACACCCTTGCATTCCATCTGTTCAATAACACCAATGAAATCATAGTGCATTGTGAAGTATTCATTAGTTAAGGAAAGACAGCAGCACACACACTCTTGCGTTCCATCTGTTCAATAACACCAATGAAATCTTAGTGCATTGTG